CTTCTCTTTTCTCTTATTCGAGAATTTATTGCAGTGTGGCTCCAAGAAGTTTCATGCAGAAGAACCATTCAGTGCTCATTCATTGCGATTGACGGTCAAACATTTCTCGTCTCTAATTTCTCCAAATGTAACTAGTCGTACTCCTCAAAGAAGATGTTATATTTGCAGCAACACTAAACAATGTGCGATGAAACGAAGCAAACCGCGCTACCAGTGTACCGAATGCGATATTGGACTGTGTATATCGACTGTTTGAAATATTTTTATACTTCTCAGAAGATTTAACGTTATCTCATATACATCTATAAAATTGGATTCAGAATAAATAGTTATAATAATTTTCTACAGAGCTTCTTCGCACACTCATATCGAGTAGCCAGAGAGTTAATCGCTTTTGAGTCGAGACTATGTGCATCATGTAGACAAAATTGAGTTTTGAATATCCTGAAAAGAGTTCAGACTCTTGACTTATTGCTGCATAGATACTGTCGATTTATGCTAGTTTTTAAATGAATGCCGTATTCCTCCTCCGTAACAGCAGGAGAATTGATTTTCGAATGTTGACCTGAAACTGTGTTTAGAGACAGGTCTTAACGAAAACAGTTTATTATGAAAGTTTCACGTCTTTTGATTTGCTTCCCTTCCTGAAATAAGGACATCAAGTCTATCTTCATATAAGGGATATAAGAAATATGCATTTACCATAGACGTATCTTAAGATTGAAACAATGAAAAGATTTAAAATGTTTACAATAAAATATTCTGGTTAAGAATTGTTTCTATGCAAAGTTACAAGATGAAATTCAAAAATCAATGTTTGTGACATTCTTGAGGAAGACCATGGCATTCATTAAAAACTACCGTAAAAGTGCAATATCTCGCCAGAAATAATCTAACATTCTGAACTGTTTTCAGGGTATTCATAGGTCGTTTGGTTCTATATAATGCACATAGTCTCGATTCAAAAGTGATTTATCAATTGAAAGACTTCCTTCGTAAGACATACATTTGCTCGAAAAAAATATTAAACTTACTTCATATGTGATTATTCCATCTGGCATTAAATCATACAATTTATTAAGACATTCAATAATTTGTGCTGTACGATTCGCCATTGTTTCCCTAACAAATATATATATATATATATATTTAGTAGTTTTCAAAAACTTCTTAGAAAACGCCTGTTTCTTTTTTCTTACCAAACACCACCAACTTTTGCATATTCAACAGGATGTGGAAGAAGTAAAGCAATAACTAATTCCTGATGTTCTTTAACAACTGATTTAAGCCATGGTATAACATACTAATGAAATATATAAATCAAATATAATATAGGTTATTTTTCTTCATCTTACTTCAGATTTTAATTTGCCTAAAACGCTTCCAATTTCATTTCCTGGCAAACGAACAGTGGAATGAAACCATAGAAATAACATACTTAAAATACGTCCAAATATTTCCTAAATAATACAAGAATAGAAAAAAACAATTTTTTCTTTAACCAAAAGAAAATAAAATTCTCTTACAGGTGGTCCATATGATGTTGGTTCAATAAGACCCAAGATTAAATAAATTCCATATCGACTTAATAACTTTCTTCCAACATCAATATCCAAGCTTAAAAACATATTTGCTGTATTATCAATATTTTCAACTAAAATAGATTTTTTTTCATCACTCATTGAATCAACAATACGTTTTTCTTCATTATTATCTGTTTCACGTAACAGACTGATTATAGCTTCAACACAATGATTTTGTACATCAGCTGATAAACGCCACATATCAATTAATGTTTCTTGATAAACATGATTGGAATCAATATGTCGTCTTTCATGACATTGACGACATAAACTTATTGGATGATTACCATTTGATAAACAACATTCAATTGAATAACAAACAGCATGGGTTAATTTTTTTTCTGAGATACATAACTAAAGAAATAGAAAAAAATTATTATTGTTTTTCTTTTTGTTTTTAAATTTTCACTTTATTTTGACAATGTAAAGCGATTTCTGATACAGGACACAGGATATTACGACAATATTGTTGCATCTCTTTCGGACAACTTTTGTAACAATCAGTACACATATAATATGGTGGTGGAGTAGATTCACCATGTTTTGATAAAAGAATATCGACACAGACTTTTGATGCAATATTTTGTCTATGTGCACATCGTTCTGCTTGACATATAATTGGTTTTCGAGCTAAATTCATTTTAATTAATGTTGTTATAATGTGAAAAATAAAAGAATAAAGAATACTTACGAAGAAATTTAAAATGTATTGAACGTCGATCAATTCCAGTCGGATTAAGCATAGGCCAATAGAAAAAAAGTAAATTCGATGCAACAGCTCTTGCTGAGGCAGATCCATGTGCAATAACAAAGAGAACATCCTATTAATTTAATTAAGACTTTTATTTTAAATAGTTTGTATTTTCTAATAATTCATATTATAATAATCAACATGCAGTCAAAAAAAACAAAATATTTATTTGATTATATCAATAAATAATTCTTGATGTAAAAAATGATTGTCCGAGACGAGTTTTATCTACATCATTTAAGATATATCCTAGAGACATTTTAAACTTCTTTTCATATATATATAGAGAATTCTTAAATGTAGAAATATGATATTGAAGAAATAGAAAATTTCATTTCTAATATTTCACAAGGTTATTAATACGTCTATTAGCCAATATCTTTTGCAATTGTATTCTCCTACGGAAAAAATTAGTTTCTTTTTCCCTTTCTCTTCTAGAATTATATTTTATTTACATGTCATTTTGTATTTTTTCTAGTTTTAGGGTGAAGCCCTATATAAATGTGTCTTTTTTTAAAGTCGATTGTTTTCTGTAGTCAACAAGCTTCATAAATGATCATCCATATTGTTACCAATAATCGATGATGCTGCAGTTCTGAACCGAGGCAATAATTTCACTCAAAGTTCTTGCTTGATTGCTTAAGCTATTCATACACATAATATCAGACACATATTCTTCGTACGTGACATTATTGTATATGATAATGACTGGACTTAAAATTTTTTTTCATCCGTAGTTCGAATAGTCGGACGAGAAGAATTCTCAGTGATATTACTGTCCTGGTTCGGAACTGCGTCATCATCGATTACTAGTGACTGAGTGAATGATCGTCAGTAAAGCTTATCGGTTACAAAATATAATCGGCTTTCAAAAAAGACACATTTCGGCATAACTTCACTCTTAAACTACAAATGTTTAAATAGAATATTTTCCTTTTTTGCATTATTGTTTGTGTCCTCGTAATATCATCGAACCGGGTCATTTTGAAATAAATAGAAAATAACATACAAATATATATATACATAACTAATAATGTCAGAAAAAGGGAAAAAATAACTATTTTTTTTTGACAAAACAGACAGTATCCATCTAAAACACTGACAATCTTAATAAGTTCTGAATGTTTGGTTACATACAAAACTGATAATCAAGACCATTTATTTTCTTTTTTTAACTACAGAAAAGTCGAATTTGTTTAATAGGTTTAATCATGCTTAACTTCCTTCTCTATCTTAAATTCCATCAAAAGCCCATAAATACATACAAATAAAGACACACAACAGCATCGTGCGATATGAATACAACAACAAAAAACACTTCAAACATTTATTATGAAAACTCACATAAATTAAATCTGCTTTTAAACTCAATAAACATTCCATTATTTGAGCAGGATAATCTGTAAATTAACAATTTTTATTTTTTTTTATTTTTGTCTCCCCAACTTATTTCTTTTGTTTGTTTAATTCATCTTATTTTTTGTTGATAAAACAAAATTTCTACTTACTATCTCCTTCACTATTTTCAAAAACAATGAAAAGAATCGATGCTATTGAATTTAATGTCATGGAATGTTCTGGATATTCTGTATAAGCTAAAAATTTTATCAAAATTAAAATTAAAAAGTACTTTTTCAAACCCTATTCCTTACCCATATTGATAGGTAAAAGTGTATTACATAGTGTATCAAGTATCTTCTTTTTAACAGCAGATGGAAATATAGTTAATGTTGTTGCAAATGTATATGGTAATGCATCAAGTAATTCATAAGGTAAAAATGGTGCTAAACAACCAAGTGTACTTATAATTGATTCTGCTACTTCAGTATCACCCGCTTGTAATAATGGCACAACATCAATGAGATTAATTAACGAATGATAAAGTGATGAATAATTTAATGTTGGATATTTACTAATACGATATGAATGTTTACCACTTGTTTGTTCTGGATTTTGATCAATTGTCATTTCTTTTAATACACTAGAAAAAGCATAATATTTATTTAATTATAATCAGTATCTTGTCTTTTTTATTTTTACCTAAGAAGAGTTTTAGAAAAGTGATCCAGAACAGATACAGTATCATTTGTAGTTGGTAATGGTGTTACACCACTAATAATATTATTATAATAATCATTAAGAGTTCGAATTTTTGATGAAACTAAATTTAAAAAACCATAAGAATAAGAAATCTATTGATTTCAGTATTATGTATATGCTTACATGCAGCTGCCCTAGTCGCCATTTTATCTACAAAAGATAAGAATTAATTGTTTGTAAAACATATTAAAAAGAAAAGATTATTTATTGATAACCTTTCACCGAACAAAAAAAAAATCAACAATAGAAAAAAAAACAAGCTAAATAATAGACAGAAGAACCATTTGACAGGATCAATCGATTCTCTTAGGACCTCGTACTATTGAAACATAATGTCGCTAATAGTTATAGAAATGTTCATTTCCAAGTAGCGCTAATCTCTTAAATAGAATATGAACTGATTCGGATTGGTTTATATTTTTAGCCAACTCGTTTGGAGGTCAATAAATCGAACGAACGTGTACTCAGTAAATGTGATGAAAAACGTTTGTCGATAGTGAAATCAAGAAGTTTTATAATAAAGATTTATCTTGCATTAATTTAAGAAACATATATTATTATACAATATGGCCGCATCATCGAGATCAGCAACTGTAGTCGAATTGCGTCGAATGTTTTCCAACTTAGATTCAACTGTAATTGAAAGTGTTTTAGCAGCTAATAATGGTCAAGTTGATGTTACAATTGATCATTTACTTACAATGTCGATTGATACTGAAAATGAAAACAATATTCAACAAGTAAAAATTTCTTTTTTAAAATTAATACGATTTATTTAATTATAAATTTAAACATTTTAGGCAACACCAACAACACCACTTCGACAATTACCAGCAGTTCCTAATATATACGATGATGATCCACCACCCTGTAAATTAATTCTTTTTTGTTTTTTACTAATCTGAATAACTTTTTTCGTCCGATGTAGATCCCGGTCATGATACAATAATTAATCCTCGTTCAAAAACAACAACAATCATGCCTTTTCTTCCACAACATTCATCATCTAATGCTCACTTGTCAATAAGTCATAATCAATTAAACAATGCGTATTTTTCAAAAGAGTATATAACAAACTTTCTTTTTTTTTTTCTTTTTTTTATTAATCTTTATGTATCATGCTGTTTGTATTTAGTACGAATTCTCAGCAAGACCTTCAAGTACGAAAATGGAAAACAGCTTATGATCAATATCGAATTTGTTATATTGGAGATTTACCTGATGATTTTCTTCGAATGAAATTATTATCAAAATTTGAAAGTACAAATCAATCAAAGGTATGAAAAATTATTTTTAGTAATTTTTCTTTGTTTTTAAATAATTTTTATGGAAAACAAAGAATAATTTTTCTGGAGAAAATGGCAAAACATCACGATATATTGAAGATGAACGTTTTGACGAACTTTTTCAAAATGAAGAATTCTTAAATGAACTTCGACATAATAAAGAATTTTTAACAGTCCTTCATTCAGGTATGATTTTATTTTAATTAATTTTATAAAAACATAAACTGAATATTTAGATCAACCAATTCGATCAACATCATCATCTCAACAACGTCGATCATTTAATTATTTAAGTACAAAACCTTTACCATTACCAACACCTCCAACCGTTGAAACACTTAAAACACCAAAAGTTCGTGCAAGAATGCTTCAAAATGTTCTTACACAAATTGAACAAGGACAAACAATGAAAAGTAAAAAAGAAAATAATATCTTCATTAATCAATTTATTTTACTTTTTAATATTAGCATCAATGGTTCCAGAAGAATCTATTACTCAAAATGAAGGCTATTCTTATGGGAAAGGTATTTGAATACAATCAACAAATTATTCGTTTTTTTTATGATTTTTTTAAAGATAATCATGAACAAATGTCACTTCCACCTGCACCATTTGTTGGCGAATTTGATCCATTACCACCAGAAAGTAATGAAGAATTTATTGGTCGATTAAAAAATATGGGAAAAAGTAACAAATTACATATGAAATCATGTTTAGAGAATCTTGACTATTTTTTCTAAAGATTCAATGGAAAAATTTAATCAATTAGCTCGACGATTTTCTACACGTAAGGATACAACAACGAATACTGGAAAATATTCTAAACAATCAATGTAAGTTCTTTTCCATGCAAAGAATATCATGATCAGGAAAATATCACAGTTTTTTTAATTATCATCTGGAAGTAAAAAGTAGACATTTACTTGAACTGTGTATATTGATAAAAATCAATAAAATTGTGATTCGACAAGCATAATAAAGAGAGTCACTAGTCAGTAACTAACCAATTCAATCTAATCCAACTTCATATTGATATTAATTTTGCAGTGATAAAAAAGATGAGTGCGAGTGTTTATTTGCATAAAATATTATCAAAGTAATAACAGTTGAAACAGATGGTTATCCATTTTCTTTTATTTTGGATTCAAAATTTCAGCATCGATAATTTAGAATAGGTAAACTATGTACAATTTAAACTTTACATTACTCAATAAAGGAATTCAGAAAGAAAGTACAGGTATAAATGTTATCACTACAAAACACAACAAAAAAAGTTTTGATAAAGCGGTCGTAAAGATAATGAAAAAAGTTGGATACTTCTTTATATCGTTGACTATAAACTATTGGAGAAACATATAATTGAAGCCAAATCTCGAAGATCACTCTTCGATTAGCAGTACATAGTTGTCATTTATTTCATCTACTTCGTATTCTATTTAATTTTCAGTACGATTCTAAATCATGAATGAATTTTTATTGTTATCAAATTTATATTTATAGAAATAATCATCCTATGTGTTTTATTTATTTAGAATAACAGATACATCAGAATGACCATCTTTAACAAATGAATTTGACACTGATGATGATCTGATTTCATTGAACAAAAATATCTTCGTTTGTTTTTCTTATTCTTGATAAATATTGTATTCATTTATTTTCATTTTAGGATCGATACCTTATCTCCGTCTAATAATTTATCTCAATTTAATTTTTCTGTTTTTATTTCTTGTTCTAAACAACTAACAAAAGCGTCCTATTTTTTTCTGTAGATATATATATTCTCATCTATTTTTTATTCTAATCTCAGGTTATGATAACCTCTTTTTAATTTTCTGCTTATAATTCAAATTTCCTTCATTAATTTTGCTTAGTTAAACAAGAAAAATGAATACACAATAAGAAAAACTAAATTTCTTTTGTGTTTTTTTTTTTATTTTTCGTCTGCGTATGCAAGTCAGATTGTAAGATGAACAGTTAAATGAAATGGAAATAAAAAAAAAGAACTATTCGAGCTCGTTTTCTTAGTCTCGTGTTAGAAAACAAGATCTTTTACTTTGAATTTGTTTTTATGTTGTGCATTAATGAATTATGGCAAGAAGCTTTTGTAAAAAAAAAGAAAAGAAAAAGAAACATAGTTTTATGTATCGCTAAGTTTATCTTGTTGTTTTTATGTAAGAATAAAAAACCAATTTTATGAAATAAAAAAAAAATAAATATGATCTTTTTTAGATATTGATTAGAAAAGACACGAAAAATGTATGGTGCTTATTTGACATCTGATGATGACAAATTTCTTGATTTAATTACTGATGAACTAGACAAATACAATCTATCGAATGATTCCTCCTTGTGTGTGTTCTTATTTTTATTTTTAATATAATTTAATCAATATTATTCAAATTTAATTATTGTTTTTTTTTCTTTTGCAGCATTCTTCTTTTTCCACCTTTGTCATCACGACATCGTTTATTATTGCATCGTCTTCGTGATAAAAATTATTCTAATCTATTCAGTTTCTCTGTCGGTGACGAAAAAACTACTCGTCGAACAATAATTTGTTTGAAATCGCAAGTTATGGATGAAATGAATGTGTAAGAATGCTTAAATATTTATTTAATTCTGTAAACAAAATTGATATCAGTATATGAGTCAGTCTTTAAATGTAAGAATTCAAAATAAATCAATATGAATCTTTTAAGTTTTCGACTCGTATTTTAAACATTCTAGTTGAATGTCAATAATTAACTTTTGAATAGTAAGGACGCGAAATCGTGTCCGGCACTTTGAAACTATGAAGAGACTTAAGTGAAGATGAGATACTTATGAATATATGAAACGAGAAATTAGATTATGCATTGTTGATTTTTTCATAGACTATCGCATTCTGCAATCATTTTGAACTGTTTATTTCATCCTAGACTTAAAAAATAAGTTAACCCATTGATTATTCACGATGCATATATGCGTCATGGACTTAATCGTTTCTTGAAACTAATGCAATCGCTTATAGTGTAGGCTTATTAGATGCATTTGAGTAAATGCCAGCGTCAAGCAACAGAAGCTTTCTATATTATTATTTTTTTACGACCCACTGCTAGACTCATGCAGTAAGAAAAACAAATGTGATTGATGTATACCCACTCTTTATTAACATATCTTTATCTTTTGTCGGTAACTAATAGGTTAAGTATTAGTTTCGAGTTTTGAAAGTTTTTGTTTCCTTTTATTTTAAAAAATAATCTCGTACTTAAAAAGTTAATCAATTTACAATTTTCAATCGATTGATCTTCTTGAGGTAAAAAAAGCTTCTTTTGAGATGATATAGCAGGTCATACAAGGAAGTAAAACTAACCTATTTGATCGAATCGGTTTCTTTTTATCTATATCTCTTGAATACTTTATTTAAATAAATACATTCGTAAAATGACATTAAGTTCGAAAGAGACATTTAAAATTCTTTAAATTTGGTATTTAAAAATGAATATGTATTGATATGGGGTATTGTACGTACGTATATTTCAGAAGAAAAATATTTCGGGTTCAAACTGCTTTTATAGAAAGAGAATTTGAATATATTGAATGTCAAAGATTTTTCTTAAAATCTCTCATTCATCATTAATAGTGTTTTGTCATCCTTTCAGAATAGCATCACCTACAACCTCAGTCCATTCTAACGGTGAATCTTCGACCAAGTATGTGTTTGTCTTAGTATTGAGTACTAAAAAGTTACTTATTATTCTAGACGTCGTCCAGATCAAGCTTTATATAAGCCACCACGTCGAAGTAAAAATCCCGAGGTTTCTAGTCCTATTTCTACACCACCACCACAACCACCGTCGACGTCACTCGAAGAAGTTCAACAAAACAATAGTACGACTATGTCGACAAAAAGTAAAACCGCTCGTCCATCAGCTGAACCTTATGTTCCGCCGTCCAGACGCAGTCAACCGGTGAACAAAGAACCACATCTTTCTTCACCTTCATCTCTATCGTTCACCACTGACAACAAAAAAGAAGACGGTGACGTGGAAGACGAAGAAGAATGGGAGAAAATATTAGATAGTAATGAAGATCCTCAATATAAAGATCTTGTCGAAGAAGTAAAACTTCAAAACATTCTTTTTCTTTAATATTAAAGAAAATGATTTGTTTTGCTTTTTATTGTTTTTAAGATTCAAACAAAATTCAAAGAAAGTGTTCAGATAAAAAAACCAACGAATGACTATTCTCAATGGTCAGTCGATGATATACAAATAAAAGAAGCTGATTTAGCTCATGTAGTTGAAGTATCAAATTTTCCATCAACATTTCGTACTGAAGATCTTTCAAATGCATTCAAAACACTTACGTATAAATTATTATATACAATAATTCAAATATATATCTTATTTTATTTATAATTAAAAATAGTCGAAGTATATTCGATATAAAATGGGTCGATGAAACACATGCTCTGATCGTTTTTCCAGATGCTAATATGGGTAAATAGAAAATTAACTATTTCATTTACAATAGTGAACAATACTCTCCGTCCCAGTCAATCTTGGCTATTGTGTGTACGTACTTCACCAAGAATCTAGGTCATTGGCATTTCGAAGTCGTTATCGCTTAATTACGATGAGACCTATGATGAACTGCACCTTCTTTTTGTTCTGAACATTATAACCCAAAATAGAAGACTGTCTACACAATTTTGCGGTATTTCTTACTAAAAATATGACTAATGCTCGATATTTTGTACATGCAGCTGATGCCCCGTCTTCGCTCTTTCTTCATCCAAAAGATAAGTTTATTTGCTCGAATATCAATGTTTATGGATCTTTGGAACTAACAAGAGTATCATCTATGTTTCATTTTCTTTAAGGCAAGATTCACTTATGAAACCTGTAAGCAGTAATGCCTAACAGTAGAGGAAGCTTCTCAAAACCTTTGAACTCGTTTCATTCAACTATCATTGATTTATTGACCTCCAAAGAGCAGTAAATGGTTTCTCTTCATAACAATGAGTATAGTCTTTGAAAGGATTAATGAGCTTCAATAAGATTAATGATGTAGATAGCTGGGACATAACACTACATATTGAAGAGTCGGCTGACACAAAATACTTTTCTTCTTCAGATTTATAAGATAGAAAAAAAGAATATGTACCACCGATCATAATTCTCTGTGTAGTTTAGCAATAATAGCATCGCAATGCAAACGACCTACATTTTTGGTGAAGTGTGTACACACAAATTTTCAGACTGCCAGTACATACAGTGGCTGAGATTAGTTGTAGCGAAGACTTTTGTTAACTACTGTATTTCTAAATAAATATTAATGATAATTTAGCTTTGGATGCGCTTCAAATGGAGTATCCTATGTTAAAAGTTTGTTCTATGTCTCAAGCATCATCTGCATCGAAGAAAAAAGCAAAAAATTCACTTGGTATATTATATAATTATTATAGTTCTTTTTCTTGTTAATAAATATTTTTCTTTTCTAATGGTATAGAATTTCTCCAACCGTATAAAACTCGACCACAAACATCATCATTAACAGCTAATCGTCGTATATGTGCTGCATTGGGTCTAAAAAATCCGATGAGTAATGATAAAACTAAAACTGAACGACAAAAAATTGAAACAGCCAGACGTAAATAATAATTTTTTTTAAATTTTTATTTAAAAAAATACCTTAAATATTTATTTATTTGTTTTTCTAGAACAAAAAATTCGTGACAAAGAAGAACAAAAAACAGTTTGGGATGGTGGTGTTTTACCTGCCACATCAACAACATAACATTTTTTAAATATTTATTTAATATTTTCTTTTGTATCTAATCTAAAATTTTGTCACAATATGTTTGATTATCTCGTTTGTGTTTTTGTCTATTTTCTTTTTCAATTCAGACTTTTGTCTATTATACTAACATATTCTTATTGGTGAGAAAATAAAACAAAAACAAGAATGTGACTACTTTGAATTTCTAGATTTTCAATGTCATCTCAAGGTTCAACTGAATTAATTATCAAACAATTATGTTCTGGAATATTAACCGGTGGTGTTATTGGAATATGTATGGGTAGAGATCAACGTGTTCTTTCATTTTTAGCATTTACTTCAATTGGTTTAATTGATATTGCATATCATTTGGATTATTTAAAAGCACATATAACACATTTGACTTATGGTCAATCAGCAACTCGCAGAGATATTAGATTAAGATTTAACGATTTACAACGAAGTATACAAAGAGACCTGCGTGATCCACAGGATGATTTAAATCAAGAATTACAATGGTTATGGAGTGATGTAAAAAGACACATTGACGGACATATTTATTTTGGAATGGGTTTTACAACAGCATTTTTAATGAGTGTTATTCTTTTACCAAAAAACTTTCGCTAAAAATATTGTCTTTTCTGAGTCACTATCAGAACTATTGACTTCTTTTTTTTATTATGCTATAAAACGTGCTTCTAGAAAAATGAACACATTCTGTTAACGGATAGAAATTAGTTACTACATATTCTATGCAAAAAAATTAATCAATAAATAAGTTATGTTTTTACTATCAATGACTTTCACTTTATTTTCAATATAGTTTTCATGCTAATTGATATAGTACAAAAGTTCTTACATCTATGCAGTAGTTACTGATTATTTAAAAGTTTGATAGTGAACAGGAATATAAAGAAGATAAGTACTTTAGTTTTGTAGGCAAATGTTTCTTTGATCTGTGACATATTTTTTTTAGATAGATATGGCATATAATCATGCAGAACATGGTGATATACTATTCAGTGAAACTTTACTAAATAGTTTCGTTGATTTACATCGATCACAACTTGAATTATCCGGAGTACCTCAACTATTCTATCTTACTCTATTTAATAAACTTCAAAAGCAGGTTAACTAATAATCAGAAAAACATGTATGATTAATCTAATTTATTTGAAAATAGATTTTTGATGCAGGTGAATATTTTGGTATAATTGAAGTAGAAAATGATGAAGGTGAAACTGTTCAACGTAAAGTACGTGTAACTAGTGAACATAATCTACTCAAGGATGATCCTTCAATGTCAGTTAAAACAATATCTATTGTCGAAATATCTTAATTTTTGCTTTTGTTAAAGGATTTTTCTTATTGATCATGCATATACTTATCGAATAAATAATATTCGAAATGAACTGGAACAATTACCTGAATTAGTCGAACGACTTTCTCGATTGATGTTAATATCATCCGATGAAGAAAATAAAATTAATGCTATTATTGAACATATGTGGAAATTTAATAATACATATACATTAGCTATTGATGGAGGTAATGCTGAAGATCGTGAACCTTATTGGTATATTCGAGATGAATTTGGTTCGGCTATTGAACATTCTGATCAAGCAAATGCTCGAATGGTACCTTTTCTTTCAATGATCGATGGACAAATGTACACATTACTATGGCTTATTGAAGATGTTGAATGTAATAGTACGTATTGAATAAGAATGTTTTTCGATAAAATAATTTAGAGACAAACATTATACATATGTAAAACTCAAGGAAATAAAGAGTTGACCAAAAGTTTCTAGACAAAATATTTGACTATTTTTTACGTATTTAGATGCATTGAAAAAAGAGGAAAAAGCAGTGTATTAGGATCAGAATTTTGTACTCTTTCAGAATATATGCTTAAAATTTTTCTGTGACTTTTGACCTATCAGTGAATATTGAAAAGGCTCAAAACTTTGTTTTTTTGGAGAAAAATATCTCATACGAAATTTGTTCAAGATATGCCACAATGTTTGATCAAATATATTTAATGATACAGGAAAGAAATACTCTACAAAACGGTATAGTTAAATAATTTTTTTTGCAAACTCTTGAGGTGCAGTAAAGAATTTTATAAATTCTATCGCAAGAAAAATGGCTATTCTACTGATTCTCCTCTTTTCCACTCAAAATGACTGTCCGTCATAACTCTGCTATTTTTATCGGATTAATGAAAATTCTCCGTTCTTCCGTCATTTTGTAGAGTACAGATCACTCTCAAATACTATATATTTACAGAACTGATTTTATATAGACATGTCTTCAGAAAAATGAAATTTTTTCCTCTCCAGAAGATTTTTTGAGTGCTGTCAAGATTTAGTTAGAGCTCAAAAATCACAGAAAAATTCTAAGTATAGATTCTGAAAGAATACAAAAATATAATTCTAATACAAAACTTGCATTCTTTATCAATGCATTTAAATTCACAAAAACTAGTCAAATATTTTATCCGAAAACTTTTAGCTCATCCATTGTTTATTGTTTTTTTTTCCAATAGAATTATATGACATATAATTTTGATTTTTATGTAATATATTTAGAATCGATCACTGTCGATTATGCCTGTGGAATACATGATGAAATGACTCGACGTGCTAAACTTGTGCCTTGGACTAATGATGATCTGTTAGATGATATTGATTATCAACAAACAGAACCGAGTGAACAATATTTTAATGTATTTTTATATTTATTTTCCATTTGTTGAATCATATTATTGTTAACTTCTTTTTAATATTACATAGACAGGACGCGAAAACGAAAGTCTTCCATCATCTGATAATTATTCTATAGTGGATTTAACTAAATCCAATCGAACAATTAATGTTTTTACTGATATTGAACTTGTTCGTAATCATTTGACTGATAAACGTTTTCAATTAGTGGAAGATTTATCTCAAGCTGATATTGTTTTTACAAGAAAACATTTTAAAGATTTCAAGTAAATAATAAAAAAAAAAGAAGTAATATTTGACTTTTTTGTCAATTGATTATTATTTTTAGAAATTTATGTGAAAATACTCAACAATTAATAAATCAATATCCATTTGAAAATGCAATTAATATAAAAGATCTTTTAGCTGTTATTTGTCGTCGAACATCACTACCAATTGATAATGATACGCTTCAATCATATCCATTATGGTTACCGACAACATTTAATTTAACATATGAATTACCAAAATTTATTTCATATTTTCAACATAGAGAACAAAAGTAAGGAATTTATTTTTTGTTTCTTTAGAATAATTTTTCAGTGAAAATTTCATTTTGAATTTAACAATAGAAATTTGGATAATCATTGGATTGTTAAACCATTTAATTTAGCACGATCAATCGATACACATGTAACGAAAAACCTTAATGCTATTATTCGATTAGCTGAATCAGGTCCAAAAGTAAAATATTAGATTTATTTTTAATGGAAGAAAAAAATTTTTTGTATTGTAAATTAGATTGTTTGCAAATATATCGATAAACCTTTATTATTTGATCGTGAAGATAGTGGTTTAGTTAAATTTGATATTCGTTATATTGTTTTATTACGTTCATTAGAACCATTAAAAGTTTATGTTTATGAAAAATTTTGGCTTCGTTTTGCAAATAAGTAAAGAATAAAGAAGTTTTTTTTTTAATATTAATTTAATTTATTTTAGACCTTATGCATTAGATAATAATTATGATGATTATCAGGTTCATTTCAGTAAGTAAATAATAAGTGGTCCATAAAGAATGGAACACCTTGTTTTTTCTTTTCTTTCTAAAGAAAACAATGCGCCATAAAGATACCATTATAAGCTCATTCAATAAAGAGTTTTTCGATCTACAAAACAATCCACTTTGTTCTTCTTCTGGCATAGAACAATTGAAAACATTGACCATTACTCAACCATTAAACTGAGACTGTCAGAAAACAAAACAATTATTAAAAATATGTTGAAATAACAGTTCCATCGAAATTCGAAAAAATGCTGTAAGATATATCATGAAATGATGTATCTCTCGATGTTTTGCAACTTTAGAAAAAAAATCGAAAGAACAATTTTTCAAGCAAAACTTAGAAAACGATGCAAAATATTCTTTCTCGTAGTTCTATGCCATTGGGAACAATCGAAAGATTTTCGTTGTTCGGTTTAAAGGTTACACTGTTTTGTTCAGAATTAAATCTTGCGTCAGATAATATGACGATAAAACATTCATAGAGCATGCTAACTTTTGAAAACACGAGTTTCGAAAACGGGTACGAAACAAAATATCACCAGGTATTAGTTCCAAGTTTTTAACACCTGAACAACATCATTAGGAGTTTTGACAAGATCGTGGACGTATAGAACATAAAATTCTCTGTTTATTGATGCTAAATACTTTACCTTTACCGTCGAATTTGATGAACACAAGCTTGCTCAAATCGTTAGATGTCCACAAAAAATAGTAGGAGACCGGAGTTGAATAGTGAAGCTATTATCAATCTTTCCAATTTTTCGTCGACAAAAAAACTTATGTAAAAAACGAAGTCCACATTTTTATAGAATGAGATCTTCTCTCCTGGATGAGCTTAGAATGGTGCCTTTAAATAGTGGTTCCGTTTTTGAGAAACGGAAAAGCAAACTACCTCATTATTTATCGACTACCCATTAAAATCAAATTTTTCATTTCAAAAAAACTTTTTGTTAGCGGTTATGAATTATCGATATGCACACAATTTGAAAAAGATTACGTGTGAAGAATTTATACCTTTATTTGATAAGCAACAACAACATCTTATATGGGCTAATGTTCAAGTACGAAAATAAAAAAATGATTAGTTGAAATTTGACTATTTGATCTTTTTTTTTTGTTTAATATTTTGAAGGAAAATATATTTTCAATGATTCGTCAAGTATTTGAACGTGCCATATTGAAAAAACCACCATGTGGTATGTTACCATGTCATCGATCACGTGCAATGTATGCTATTGATTTAATGC